CCTCGGAGCAGGACGGAGCCGGCTGGGTCTGACGGGAGTCGGGCTGCGTGGGGCTGCTGCAGCTCTCCYGGGCTTTGGGGAAACAGTGCTGCATGGTGAAAGCAGCTGCTGGGGCACAAACGCTCCTCCAGGCACGTTCGACATGTTCCACAGGCACGTTGCAAAGCAGGGGTRGAAAACAGCTGGGTTTCTAGGGCTGGGTGGGTTCTGGGTCAGGGCTGGGGCTGCAGTGCTGTAAATTTGGGAGCACAGGTGCAGGAGGGTTTATGGCTTCTTGGGAACACAACCCTAAAGCTCTGGGCACTTCTGAAACCCATTTTGCTAAAAAATCTGTGGCAAAAGCCCCATGCTTGGTCGTCTCTGCCCTGAGGCCACAACAGGAGGGGTAGAAATGAAGCTTTGCCTTTTTTTGTGGACTCTTTGTGGTTTTTTTATGAATTCCCATCACAGAGATGGCTCTGCCCATGCCAGGCAGGGTGGGACACTCAGCTCCCTATTTGCCTGTCTCCCATMGGTGTGGGCAGTCCCAACCCCACTACGGGGAGTGAATGAGAACATAATCTGTGCCTCCATTTCCATAACCTGGAAAGTCGTGGCTAACCCAGGGATCAGTTTGGGACATGCCAATGATGTTTATAGTCAGACATTTCCCTGCAGAGAATAAACTGGCCCCAGTGCAGGGCATCAGTCCCAAAACACATCCCCTGTGYTCCAAGATGCACTGAGGAGACCTGCCTGCATGGCTGAGGCTGYCACTGCCACCAGTGCCTGTCCCCAGGAGCTCTTTCCCTGGGATAAAAAAGGATGTGCACAAGGTGCATGAGCAGGAAACACAGTTCTGACTGGAAAAGGAAAATCTATTATAAAACAGGCACCCAAAGCAGGAGTTTGCTTTTCCAGAGGCTGCGGGAGCCGGAGGGTCTGGGACTGAGAGCAAAGGAGATGCCTGCAAGAGGAGGGRTGGTAACACCTGGAAAGCTTCAGAGAAGGTTCCTCAGGGCTGGTGGAATCATTACCTGGCACGGCTGTGACTGGGAGGGGAAGGGARCAGGGCTGGGGCCTTGAGCCAGGGGGTTCCCAGATGGTGCCCGGCCAAAAGCCTCGTGCAGGAGGGCACAAAGAGGGGAGCACAGGCTTCAGAGGGGATTCCAGTTCCACTGAAATGGGGAGCTGGCTGAGGGCTGGGACTGGCTGCTGCCCTGCTCCCAGCTGGTGCCTTCAGCAGTGATATCATGGAATGGACTGGGTTGGGACCTTAAGGATCATTCAGTTCCAACTCTGGTGACAACCCCGAGCCTTGCCTGAGTGGCACCAGTGCTGTGTACAGGGGCTTTGCAGCACCAAGTGCAGCAGGTCCCTGCCTTTCCCATCCCTTCTCCTGGGAAGGGCTCAGCCCAAGCAGCAGGAGCTGCTCCTCGTCCTCACACATCCCCTGGCACTCAAAACGGGGCCCTCTTGCCTCACTTTTACTAAACAGAAGCCAACTCCCAGCCTCCACTGCTGCTGCCAGTGCTTCTCTCAGCACTTTTGGGAGTTTCCCTGAGCTCTCTGGTGTTTTGAAGTCAYCCCCAGGAGCTGTTGGGTGACTCAGCAGAGGGATGTGAAGGCAGCACAGGTGCTGTGCAGCTGGAGTTCACACTGGGATGGGACAAAGGAGAAATGCCATGGGCACACAGGGGCTTGGTTATGTCTCCATCAACCCCCAAGAGCTCTCACACAGTACCTGAACTACAGTCCTTTAGTGATTACTGCTCATCTCCCTCCCCTGGCTCTCAGGAAAACAGACCCAGCCCCAGCTCTGGCTATCTGGAGATGCTGAACATAGATTCTGGGCAATGGGGTATTGGACCCAGACACAGCCAAGACAAGTTCACCCCCAATCTGGCAAGTTAGAGTTTAAAATGGTAGTCTGTATTCAGGCTGAGCCTGTTCTGGGAGAAGAGCAGCACCATTTCTTCCACCCCAGGATCATCACTGGCACCCACCAGCCCAGGAGGAGTGGGCAGGTGAGGGATGGGGGTGGGCTCAGACCTGCTGAGGGTGGTCGTGGGGTGTGCAGGCTCAGCTCCACTGKTCTCTGCCCATGGTGTGGCCTGACAGCAGTGCCCTCCCCTATGACGGGTGTTTACAGAGCTGGACAGGATCCCTGGAGCCTTTGTGTCCACGTCCCTGTGGCCGCAGGGTTCTGTGAGGTCGGGGTCAGACCCTTCCCYCAGCTACATCCGTGAGCTGGGGACCTCCAAGAAAAAGCCATGAGCTGGGAACCTCCAGGAAAAAGGCACTGGTGGGATGTTGCTGGCAGGTTTGGTGGTTGGTGGGAACAGCAGGCGAGGTGGCCTCGTGCTCGGGGTTGCTGGTCCCGGCGGTGCTCCGAGTGCAGCGTCAGCTGGATTTTGGCAGCTCTGAGCCCTGGCCCCTCGCTGCCCACAGTCCTGGCCCCAGGGAGGCAGGGAGAAGGTGGCATGCTCACGTCTGAATACAACATGTTCCCCAAGCATGTTTGTTAACATAGTTACAAATAAACATTTTGCAAGATTTTTGCCAGGAGGACGGGCTTAATGTGTGTGGAGCCTTGAAGGACAGGGGAAGGCCAGTGCAGCCTATCATGTGGGCCCTGGTCTGGCCTSCCCAGTGCTGCTGGGGCAAGGGAAGTTGATTTCTCTCTGGGGAGTGCATTACTCAAGTCCCTGTCACAAATTGAGAAGCAAATCCCATTAATTCAGMCAGGAGGAAATAATATTGTGGTGCTGGAGGAGAATGGAAAGGTGAGCAAAACCCACCAGAAACGACCCCAGGCCCCCTGTCCTCCCCACTGGCAGTTCTGCCCCCACTCTGCTCCCTGCAGTGGGCTCTGGCTTCAGAGTGAGTGAAAGGAAAAAGCAAAGTCATGTCCCAGCTCCTTGGGGGATTTCAGGCTTTCAGGGGCAGGATGAGCAATCTCAGCCCTGGGAGAGTTGTGGGGTCTCAGGGGAAGCAGGGACAGAGCYGAGCAGGAAGGCACAGAGGGGCAAGGGGCATGCCCTGGGCTTTTGGGGGCCTTCAGCCTGAAATATTTCCAGGAATATTTTCTATATGAACCTAGAAATGCCTAGTTCATCTTCTAACCCACAAGTCATTCGTGCTTTTGCCCATYCCATTCCCTGCCCCATCCAGCTGCAAAGAGAGCAAGTGGCTGGGAGGGGTCTCAGCAGCCGGTGGGGGCCAACCCAGCACATTTCCCCATCCCTGGGAGTGTTCCAGGCCAGGCTGGACAGGGCTTGGAGCACCCTGGGACAGTGGATGCCCCTGTGCATGGCAGTGGGTGGCAACGAGATGGTTTTGAAGATCCTTTCCAGCCCAAACCATTCCACGATTTTCCTGGCACCCCTCGGTGCCCCGGTGCTCGGGTTGTCCCGGTGCGCTGTCCCGGTGCTCCGGTTGTCCCGGTGAGCTGTCCCGGTGCTCCGGTTGTCCCGGTGAGCTGTCCCGGTGCTCTGGTTG